TCATACCTTTTTTTTTTTAAGTTTTCAAATAATAACATAGATCTCAAAATCTTAAATATCCTAAATCAATAATGCTTTGTTCGTGAACAGAGAGCTATTTTGATAGGGCTAATTTTGGGTTAGGGTAGAATTTATTATTATTAATTTTTTTTTGAAACTTATTTATTTTATTTTTTTTAAGTTTTGCCGATTGAAAATTTTGTTGGTTTGGACTTTATAACGTAACAAGACAATGTCACACGCCAAACAAAATGGTATGCCAAGCATCTAGATAGACTTTTTTTGAACCCTACAATAATGATGAATAACTGGAAGTATTTGATAAACCACCATGTATTGCTAGTGGCTATGGTTTCATTATATAAGAATTTTACAATAGAAAATAAGGCAAGAATATTTCTGTACAAGGCAGCATATACAATGTAATCTTATTTTCTATATTTAGGGGATTGATTGGAATCATGAGATTGAGGGGAGGATCTTGGAGATCCGTCCATAACTGTAATACCCCCCGCAAGTCTAGCGTATCAGAATCATGGACGTGTAGCTTGGAGCGTAGGAAGAGGAGGGTAGGTCTGTCGAGACTTTTGGTGAAAATGTTCGCAAGTTGTAACTGAGTGGGGACATATTTTATCTTGAGGTTGCCAGAGGCCACTAGTTCCCGTACAAAATGATAATCCAAATCAATGTGCTTAGAGCATTTGTGAGAGACCGGATTAACGGGAAGAGACCGGATTAACGGCAAGGAAGATTGAGCTTTGATTATCACAAAGTATTGCAGGAGGAGACGAATGAGAGACACGAAGATCACGAAGAAGATGCTGGAGCCATTTAACCTCAGAGGCCGTGAGTGCTAAAGCCCTATATTCATATTCATAGCTGGAGTGCGAAACTGTCGGCTGCTTCTTAGAGCTCCAGGACACTAGGTTGTCACCAAAATAGATTGCATAACCAGAAATCGAGCGATGTGTGTCAAGCCAACCCGCCCAATCGGCATTAGAATAAGCAAGGAGTTCTTGAGACGAAGACAAGGTGAAGGATAAACCAAATCGAAGAGTTCCCTTGATATATCATAGTATCCGTTTTACTACAAGAAAGTGAGAGATAGAGGGCTTGTGCATGAACTGACTGACGGTACTAACGGCATGAGTGATGTTCGGCCGAGTGATGGTGAGATATTGGAGAGCTCCCACAAGTGATTGATAGAGGTGCGGATCATCAAAGTTAGGGCCTGTGGTGGAAAGACGTTGAGCGACCACCATGGGAGTACAAACCAGTTTGGAGTCAACCAATTTAGCACGATGTAAGATATCATGAGCATACTTGGCCTGGCTAAGGAAGAGACCAGAAGATGTGCGATGGGCTTCCAATCCCAGAAAGTAATTCAGAGAACTAAGATCTTTGGTGGAAAATTCACTATTTAGCCGACGAATAAAGCCATCAAGGAGTGTCGAGTTGTTGCCAGTTACGACAATGTCATCAACGTAGAGCAATAGGTAAATTAAGTCAGCACCCTTGGACAAAACAAATAAGGAGGAATCTGCTTGGCTGCAAACGAAGCCAACGGCCAAGAGAAAAGAGTTGAAGCGATGAAACCAAGCTCTTGGCGCTTGTTTAAGACCATAAAGAGCTTGACGAAGGTGGTAAACATATGTGGGATGTTTAGAGTCAACATAACCAGGCGGCCGATCCATATAGACTTCTTCCAGTACGAACCCATTAAGAAACGCATTTTTAACATCAAGCTACCAAAGAGGCCAATTATGAGAGATGGCCAAGGATAAAACAACTCAGACAGTGGAAGCTTTGACAACATGACTAAACATTTCAGTGAAGTCGAGACCTGGTTGTTGTGTGTAGCCCTTTGCAACCAAGCGGGCCTTAAGACGATCAACAGTGCCATCTGAAAGGTATTTGATGCGGAAAACCCATTTAGAGCCCACAACATTTGCGTTGGGCGGTTTAAGTACCAAGCCCCATATATGATTTTTGCGAAGGGCCTAAATTTCTTCATCCATGGCTGCAATCTATCTAGAATGTTTAGCAGCGCACTTGAAGCCTTTAGGTTCGTGCATGGTGAGAAGAGATACAAGTAGGCTGGAGTTAGGGACCATGCACACATAAGAGCAGTGGATAGGCTTGAAAATGCCGAATTTTGCACGAGTTTGCATTGGATGGGTGCCAAGTGGAGGAGGCTGGCTGGAGCATACTTCAGTGACAGGAGTTGGATTGGCGAGCAATAGCTCGGAGTCATTAGAAGGACTTTACACTAAGTGACTAGTAGGGTCATCACCTGCGTCCTGCAAAAGAGATATAGGCACAAGACTAGTAGATGCATCAGTAGAACAAGAATTACAAAGAGGTGGTATGTAATCGGGTTGAGTAGGTGATGAGGCCTCTGGGATAGTGATGGGCTCAAGAAATGCACTAATGGTAGAGTTAGGCATGGACATAGGACAGCGAGTTCCCTGAAAGGGATAATTGAGTTCATCAAAAATTGCATGCCTGGAGATAAAAACATGATTAATGGAGCAATCAAGACAACGATAGCCATTATGAGACATACTATAACCAAGAAAAACACAAGGATGACTATGAGGAGCTAACTTGTGAGATGCATAATCACGTAACGAAAATACAAGGTAGCCAAAGGAGTGAAAATTAGAGTAAACGGGAGGCTTTCCATACAGCATCTCAAAAGGAGACAAGCCATTAAGAGTAGGTGTCACCAACCGATTGATGATGAAAGCAGTCGTGCTAAAAGCATCAACCCAAAATTTAAGAGGAACATGTGAGCGAAAAAGCATTGCAAGACCAGATTCCGTTAAATGACGGTGTTTGCGTTTGGCGCGATCGTTTTGGGCCGGTGTTAAGGGCAAGACATATGATGACGTATGCCACAATTTGAAAAGGTGATCTCAAAAAATGTGATTTGTAAATTCTATGCCTCCATCACTTTGAAAAACTTTGATTTTAGCGAAAAATTGATTTTCTACAAATTTCTGAAATTGAAGAAAAATGCTATAGATTTCAGATTTTAATTTCAAAGGATAAAACCACGTGAATCGTGAATAATCATCAACAAAAATTACATAATATTTGTAACCCATATTAGAAGAAATAGGGGATGGACCCCATAAATCACAATGAATTAGATTCAACATATTAGAAGCTTGTTTTTCATTTAGTTGGAATGGGAGTCTACGACTTTTCCCAAGTTGACAACTAGAGCAAATAGTGGGGTTTGGGAGCAAGGAAGTCACACAATATTGGCGATTTTTATTCAATAGAGAAACAATAGAATGAGATACATGACCTAAGCGAGCATGCCAAACATCAAAAGAAGCTCGAGGACAACTATGGGAAAGTACAGAAAGTAAAGAGTTATGGTCGCGCTTGAGCACATAGAGACCATTTTCACGTTGCCCGGTTGCCACCACCTTTCTTGTGACCTGATTTTGTATAAAAAAAGCGATCATTAGTGAATGTGATAGAGAAAGGAAAATCAGTGGTAAGTTTGCTGATGGATATCAGAATTTTGGTTAAGCCAAGCACAATGTAATCTTATTTTCTATATTTAGGGGATTGATTGGAATCATGAGATTGAGGGGAGGACCTTGGAGATTCGTCATAGCTCTAATAATAACATTATTGTTTCAAAAAACATTGGAGTCTCAAAATTCCTCTCAATCCAAATTTCTGGAGTTATGGGCCCAAAATTGAAAAGCAGACATGACAATTGTAAAGACAGTTTAGGTTAGGACTGAAGTTTTGGCCATTGACATGTCCTCAGTCCTTATGTGTGAAAGGGAACATGGCAACTCATAAGTAGGGTTAATGTAAAGTGTATTTAGACACCCTCATTTCATAATATATGCATCCTTTAGAGTAATGTTTCTGCTATAACTTTTCCTTTTTCATTTATATATATTATCTTTCTCCTCTAAATATTTTATTTTACTTATTGAAAGCTAAATTTAACCTCTGTGTCAAGTTGATTTTCGAAAAGTGATATTTTTGAAAATTGTATAGTTAAAAAGTATGAAAAAGTTATAAGAAAATATGAAAAAAAGTGATTTTTTTAGAAACGGGCCTATATAAGCCAGCATTAATGGGGAGCTAGGTGGGTGCTTGGGTGGGAGGTGGGCGATTATTTAAAAATAAATAAAAATTCACCCACACAGGCGTGTACAGCCCGCACAACTCAAATTGGTATGGTACAGGACTTTTTAGCAGTAGGGATTATCTCACGTTTTCCACTGTTTGAAATAATTGTCATCCGCTAATCATGCCTACTCTGCTGGAAATCTATACCAAGTGGTAGATGTTGGGTTACAAAATTGTCGACGTATGTTTCGCATGCATTATACAATATTGAATTAATGACTATATATAATAAATGAAAACTAAGTTTCAACATTTTCCAGAAATTGTTATTTGAGTAAAATATTATCTTTTTTTTAAAAAAAAAAATAAAAATGCATTTGCTCTAAATTACACAGCATTTTGAATTTAGAGCATTTCTTGGAGATGTTCCTAAAATGGTAGGTATATTTACATTAATATTGTAGTATAAAATTATAATTACATATTTATCTTGCAATTATTGGTTTATATTCATGCGAAGCAACTCTTCAAATAACTCAAAAAAGTATGCTTACAACATTTTTTTTTTTTTATCCAGAGTTAATTTTAATTTTCAACGTATTTCCTAGAATGACAGTCCACAACTAAATAACAATTTTATGGAACAATAGTAGAAAACAAAGGTAAAATAATTTTTCCAAACGGGCCCTTAAATTGTTTTGCATGTGATTAGCTCGATTACAATATTTTTTTTTAGGGAAAAACCTCGATTAAATCTATGCATAATTGTCCTTGCACATTAATTTGGACTGATACTTGGTTTGAAATGATGCAGTAAAAAATACAACTGCTGAAGTAGACAATGATATTTCAATGCTCAAATTGACATACACAAACATATATGAAAAGTAGGCTAATCAAGAGAATTGCATCTTAATAAATTTTGGAAACATACACAAGTTTGTATAACAACAGATAAATCTCCAAATTGTGGCTGAAAATAACAAAAAATGCATGTTTTGACTTGAGAGGCATCGCACTTCACATAATATAAATTAGTGGCACGGCCCACTTTGACTACCCGAAGGAAAATTAGACATCAGAATCCAATGCTTGGAAATAAGCATTAACAGAAAAAAACTAAAAGAAGGATGAAGAAATAAAAGATAATGACAACACATTGTATATTCTGTTAAATACAGTGTCACGAGATATTCCTATCGCTCATCCTTTCGGTCACCTCACCATGAAAGTGTGACACCATGAGCGAATAAGTCGAAAGAGGAGGAGGTATGTAATTCCCATCGTATATGAAGATAGCTGCTTAACAATTGCTACACGACAGCTCATGATCCGATAATTTACTGTCATAATGGCTTAGATGTTGGACTACACAAGGGTATAGTTGTTCCGCGGCCTGTGAGTATCAGGTAAAGTTTGAATTATTAAAGTGAGTGAATAAGTTAGGGAGGTGGGTCAGGGGTCAGACAATTGAGGAAAGGAAAACATTTGTATACCATTCGTCCTCCCACCAAATCATAATGAGCATAATGAGGACCGTCACGCTCTCCGAATACTTTATATGTAACCAAATGCTCGGGAATGAGTTTCACTGTTTCTGCTCGAGATAATGGACGGAAGATGAAAGAAAGGTTAACTAAATAAAATAACTCCCACAGAATTAACTCATTTGGAATCAATTTGCTAAAAGAGCATACACTTTTGCTATATTGGAATCAAAAGAGGCAATTATTCTTATGAATGGGGTATAGTATGCACCATGGGAAGTAATAAAGTTTTCGGATCAAGACCACACACCATATACAGCTTCTGGAGGACAAATTAAGTCACGATCTCCAGCAAGAGCCAAGACAGGTACATTGCTTTTATGAAGGTGATCCTTGTAGAAAAATTGACAGCTTCTATCACGGAGCCCCCCCGCACGAAAAGCAGTTGTCAGCTGCAATAAAAGTTTAGCAGGAACAGTACCTGCCAGTGGTGATGAAACTCTATACATTAATGACATTGATATTGATTTATGCCAAGTTTAACAGTTTCCATACCCAAGATAAGAAAATTCCATAAATTTGGACGCATTCTCGTGAAACTTAATTCTGGCTCTTTTCCATGTTCAATAAGTAGATGATCTATAGATGATTGACGCATCAAGGCCAGACTGAAGCGCTTGACCCTTTATTTGTGTATCGACATGTGTTCAAGAAATCGTTTCAGCAGACACAGAACAAGATATTTGATAATAATTAGATGCAACAAAACAATTAACACCAAATCTTTCATATCTCATTAGGGGCAAGGGGAAGTTGGTGGCAGTTGTTCACATTTAATGAATGTGATCCCATGTAGCATTCTAATTTAGCTTAACATCCATATCCATACCCACCCAACCCTTAAGCGCATAAATAAATTGACAAGCTGATAATAATATGCAGTGGAAAAACATTTGACTTACAAAAGTTATTTAGAACAAGCTTCTTCAACAGCTCTGGATGCATCATATCTTGTGCTGATATTAGGTCATTGAGCCATGATAAGACATAAGGTGGACGAGATGACAGAGGATAAGCTGCAGACAGTAATGCTCCTAATGGAACAACAGGCACATTGAGAGCCTGTGCAGGATCAGCCTGCAAGACAACTACATTGTAGTACTGCCCAGTAGGAGGTAATAATTTTCTTAAATCAGAAAGGAGATGGACCAACAAGGAAATGCTACTTACGAGGGGTAGGAGTAGTTTGAGCGAGGATTTAGAAGATGTGTAGTCAAGTGATGACGCTAATGTTACGATAGCTGCTAATCTGGGATCTCTTCCTTCGAAACCTTTTAAAATTAAATGCATTACGAGAACATGCCAAAACTCAGCGATGGAAAATTTGTGCTTACTGAAATGTGCATATCACTAAAGAGCAATCATGAAATTACACAAACATAATATATCGAACATTGTTTGAGAAAGTTGTCTGAGACTAGCGTCTTGAGGCATGACTAGCATGAGGCTTCCATTAAAAGCCTGCATATGCCTCAGTGCCATTTATCCAGGCTTACGCCTCGAAGGACTGAGGCTTACGAGCAACTGAGGTGTCTGCTCATATATGACTGAAATCAAAGTTTTTGGTTATTTCATATTTATAGCCTGGAACATTTTGTGGGATTCTTTTTTGATCTCCTCTCCTTTATATGAAAGGCAAATGGAAAGAGAAAGGAGAATGCAACATTGCAAGAGGAGGACGAGGCAAAGAATGAAAAAAATGTTATAAAAAGAATGATACTAGGGGGAATCAAATATGTTGATAATCTCTAGTGATCATATAAGTAGTGATGACATCAGTGACCTGGGCTGTTTCTACTTCTATTAACATGTTACATAAATCTAGGTCCAACTTTCAAGACTCAGGTTTTGGGTCCAAAAGGAATAAATTTGGGTCTCCACATGACAAAAATCATCAATTTGAAAGTTAAAATCACAAGAATTGAAATAAATGTTAAGTGGTTTAACAGTTTTACACTCCAGGTGTGCATCGTATGAAAGTCACGTTCGATTTCAACACTTATACCAATGGTTTGGACCTTGGGGACCCAAAGTCATCATTTAAATAGATTGGGGATCTAAAACCACGCTGTGAAAAGTTGGAGAGCACAACCTTATTTTAACCTTTAAAAATTTCCAAATAAGCAAAATGGACATAGTTTGTTAAAAAAAATCTTCAATGCTACATTATCTAGAGCTCCATCTAATTTAGGGGCTGTGTTGGACATGTTGACAACAATTTATTTAATTTTGTTTATGTTTTAATAGCATTGAATTTCTCGTTCTTCTTATTCATTTTATTCATTTATTTATTTAATTTTAGATTAGATAAAAGACATGTAGGGAATATTATTGGCAGCAGATAGAACCTAATATAGACCAATTTTAGGCAGTTTTTATGCATTAGACACCGATACTATGTAGACTGCAAGTCTTTCAACTTGCCTATGACGTTGACTATAATTCATAGAATGCATTGGAGACGCTCTTACAATCTGCATTTGCATGTTTTCAAGTGAATCACAAGTAAAATTAATGCTATTTATATAAATTAAATATAGGAGTCCAACTTACCATATCGTGACAGCATCGCATATAGCAAGATACCACCCATTGAATGTCCAATTGCAAGCAATCGACCATCCTTTGGTTTGCTTTGGGCCCTTATGTATTCCATCTACAACATTGGAAATGGATAGCACAATGATTATGAATGCCAAAAAGAAATAAATAAATAGTCAGCATAAAAGGTCACCAGATGTCAAAAATTATGTTTTAGCTTGAACTACGGGGTTAAATAAAGAGTGATAGCATGGTATGACCATCAACAAGGAGAAATGTCACCTCACCGCAGCAGGAACATCTTCTTCAAGGTAATGATCGAAGTCCCAATCATATTTGATAATCAAGTCCAATTGTTTCTGGAAATCTTCTATGGTAGTAATCAGTCGCTCTTGCAGATCAAACAACTGAGGTGAAACAGAACGCTGACCTTCTTCAATAATATCTACTAGTTTTTGACTTAGATCCCTAACTTGGCCAGCAACAGCAGAGTTCTGCCTTGTTTCCAGCAAACTCAGTAATTTCCCCCTTACCTCACTAAAGCGTTCAAAAATGAACGAATCCTCTAAGAGTCTTGATATTTGATCAAAAAATTTAGCAGACATTATGTTGAATTGACTTTCACTGAGAAAGCCAGAGAGTCTTTCAGATAAGCGCATAAATGTTTCTGTCAATTTTGTCACCAATTTTGATTCATCCCATGCTGTTGCAATCCTTGTTGGTTCATTATTGGCTACAGCTATCTCAGCTTTTTCCAAGTCATTCTGGGTATTGGTTGACTGCTGCTCTCTGGAAGGAAGTCCATTGGTTACGTTCTCAACCGCAGCTTCCATGAATTCAGACATTGCATGAGCTGATTTCTCAACATCTTTAGCATCTGATCCATGCATGCTCAACCCAGCTCCTCGAACTTCAAGAATCCAAGTATCAAATCCTTGACCACACATGTAACGGGCAAATGAAGACTGCAAAATTATAGTTTAGAAATTATGATTAGTATAGCATAATTGATAGATTAATCGTATCTTGTTGATGTGCTGTTCTCTTGGACCTCATATAGCAAAAATAAGATTCTTTCACTCCCAATCAATGCATATTATGCAGCATTTCAAGAGAGACAATACATGAAAAGAGGCAGATTTTTAAGTTATCATAACTGTTAGTTTTTCAATAACCTAGCTTAATTTTGAGGACATGCAAAGAGGATTAATAAATCTCATTATTTATCTTAAAAGAAAAAAAGAATCTATACAATAGATACTAATGATCCATTAATAGGATAACTCCCAACTAAATCTTGCCTCTAGTTGAGGACCATTTCATGAACTGACCATTCCTTTCAAAAATTTCCACGGCGCAAGAGGGAACACAAGTATAGGCCAAGAAGACTCCTAAACTACTTTTGTATAAGAACAAGTGGAAAACACTTATATAATTATTTCACAAAGATTAAACTAAAGCTGGTTGTTTTCTTTCCTCTCTTTACTGATGGCAACTAAAACTTTTCCTACACATGTAGAAGTCATATAAACTAACCCCAGGAGAAAGATCATATCCAATGGCATTTGTTCCCACACCAGATAGCAGCAGCAGAGGATGATTTCGTGGCGGTGCCTGTTTTCAAACAATTTAAACAACATACTTAAATAAGTTCTCTTTCATACATAACAGCAATAGTCACTTGTATCCCATAAAAAGAGAACAATTTTCTCCAAAAAAGATAGCCAAATGTTAGGAGCACCCTTGATTACACGAACAAGCACGAAATGTCAAAGTTTGATTATCCCCGCCAGTAGCATATGCAGAAATTTACAGAAGATCATCTATAATTGTATAAAATGTATAGTTATTATTCAACAGGCGAATTTATTGTCTCCTGCAACGTGTATATAGAAGCTCATTCCAGCTCATCAAGTGATAAAGTTCTACATGGATCATTAATTATCTAACGCAATTTATACATAGAAAATTACGCTACTCAATTAACACCGCCCTAGGGCAAAAATTGCAACCTGACCCGTGAACTAGCACAATATGCATTTATGTATGTAAATGTGAAAAGGGGAACCTGAGGAGAAGGATTGTAGCGCCAGAGGGCGAGGCGCCAGCCGGAATTGTTGACGGAGACATAGTGGATCTCGTCGGCTGTGCATATCGGCGGTTTGTTCGGTAGTTTCTCGACATCATCGATTTTTTCATCTTGAGTGTCGTTGGTTGAGAAGGCTCGGGTTCTTGCCGTGGCGGTGGTCAGGGTGAGCGAGCGGCCGAATGCAGCAACGCGTGGGAGCGAGAAGCAGTTACGTAGGCGGTGGTGTCCGCGACGGCAGATGGTAAAGGAGGCGAAATGGATCGCCGGATTGATGTTGGATTGAGTGATTACCATTTTTATAATTTACAGGTGAACAGTTTGTTTTGTTTGAAATTTGATATTGTGGAGAACTTTTATTTGTTTGATTGATTCCTTGTGTTTGGGGTTTTGACCTTTTCGGTAGTGTAGACTGTAGACGGTAAGGAAATTGGATAAAAGGACACGCCACGTCGCCGCTTTTTATGTAAATCCAATAAAATAAAAGAAGTCATCATCGGTGATAAAAGGTTTGGCCTCCATTTCGTAAAAATAAAAATGAGTGAAACAGTCCCAGGGTACATCTCCAAGTGATAAAAGGGGAGGGTGGAGAAATCCAGCTTTGTTTGAGGCTGTTGCGTCAAGAGTTCGAAGGTAAGGAAATTGGATAAAAGGACACGCCACGTCGCCGCTTTTTATGTAAATCCAATAAAATAAAAGAAGTCATCATCGGTGATAAAAGGTTTGGCCTCCATTTCGTAAAAATAAAAATGAGTGAAACAGTCCCAGGGTACATCTCCAAGTGATAAAAGGGGAGGGTGGAGAAATCCAGCTTTGTTTGAGGCTGTTGCGTCAAGAGTTCGAATCCTGAAATATGAATTTGGCTCTTGGGTAAGTACAAGTGTACAAGCAGTCTTCCACCCTATACCCTTAGAGGCATAACCTGCAATTTACCTCCCTCACGATGTTCTAGGGCAGAAGTGGTGGGGGACCCTTAAAGTTAGGATTTAACCTTTTTTTTTTAAATGAGTGAAACATTATTTTTTTAAAAATGAATGGTTGAAAAAAAAAAGAAAATTTTTCAATTTACGTGTAATATTATTTTATGAAAAATTATGTAGTTAAAATAGAAAAATAAAAAATGAAATGAAAATTAACGGGGATCAAACGAGGGTCTATTGTTTTGACAAGAGTAGATTATAAGATAACAAAACAAGAATAACGTTATCTAGTACACGTTAGTTAAAAATTATCTTAAGAGCATACATATTATTCTGCTATATTTGAAACAATGTTTACTTAGTTGTTAAATTCGAATATAGTAGAATTTAGATACTCTATTCATGATCTGTTGACTGTAGTTATGGACTCTATTACAAAAATTAGCATAAGATGAGGGCTCGTTTGGTACACATTAACGTAAAAATGAGAAAGAAAAATATAGTTGTTACAGATCCCACACAAGAAATAGAAAGTCAAATATGGTGGCTTGATGTGATGGATAACGGTCATATTTTTCATTTTAATGTACAAATAATGAAAAACAAACGAGGGCTGAGTAATGTTGCCCTAAAGATGTTATCTTTTGTACTAAACAAAGATGAAGGAAAATCTCGTATTACAAAACTTTCTACAAGAAAAAAAATTTCTAAACCATATTGAAGGTGTGTTTTATTTTAGGGAAAATTGCAGTCGAAGTACTAAACATTTCGTTTATTAGTAGACTTTACCCAAACCTTTAGTTTGTACCACCGGAGGTACCAAACCTTCAAAAAGTTTGCACCCGACGTCCAAATTGACAGAAATTGTTAGTTTGACTGTTATTGACCAAAAATTAAAGGTCTGACCAATTATTGACTAATTTTTAATGGGGACAAATGTGTAACTTTACATTTTCATATAAAAAATTTAAATAAAAGAAAAAAAATTAAAAAAACAGTCATTTTCTCCACCCACCCAAAACTAAAAGTCATATTCTCCATCCACCCAAAACCAAAAACCAAGTATTTCCCAATAAAATCAAAAATTGGAATCTCACTAACTTCCTCACTCTCGCCGGAAGCTTGATAGAAATCTCAAAAGCTTATTTCAAACCTTGCAACTCATTTTCCTCACTCTTCAAGAATCAGTAAAATCTGGGAAAAAGAAAATAAAAACCCTTCTTTGCCCATCAACAAGAACCCATCGAATACCAGTGTATTTGTATGACTAGTTTTTGGGAGAAAGAAGATAAAAACCCATCAAATGCCCATTTCATTTATTGGTTTTTTTTTTTTTGCCCTCTTTTACTCTCTTCCCTTGAAACCCTTAATTCCATTTCTTCTCAAACAACCCCTCAAATCCTACAAATATCCCCACTATATCATCTCCTTCTCCTCCCATTTCTCCTCTCACTGGCCATTCTCATCGGAGCTAGTCATTCTGGAAGTGCAAACTGGTTTTGTTCATTTACCAAACTGGTTTTTGGTTTTCATGGAAGGGGGGAAGGTGAGTGGAGATGATGATTGGAGTTTTTTATTTTTTTTTTGTTTTTTGGTTTTAAATATAATTCTTTTATTTAAATTTTTTATATCCTTTAAAAATCAGTCAACAATTAACCGGACCTTTAATTTTTGGTCAATAACAGTCAAACTAACGGTTTCTATTAATTTGGACTCCGGGTGCGAATTTTTTGAAGGTTTGGTACCTCCGGTGGCACAAACTAAAGGTTTGGGTAAAGTCTGCTAATAAACGAAATATTTGGTACCTCAACTGTAATTTTCCCTTTATTTTATTCCAAACCCACCAATCATGGACAACTTTACTATGACTAACATTTCAAACCAAACCTTCTAGTCTATAAAACCCTTTAGGCTTTAAGTTCTCTGGAATATAGAGAAAAGGGGGAAATTCTTGCCTTTTAATTAGAGACCCTGATTTGGGCTCCATTTTATATTGGGCTTTCTCTTGGGCCACCAATCAGAAAAATGAGATCATTGGGTTGCCAAGTCGAACCCATTCAACACTAAACCATCATTCTCCTTCGGGAAAATTACCCAAAATTTGCTGATGCTACCAAAAATCGTACCTGTTGATTTTTCGAGCTTGACGACTGATAATGAGCACGAACAAGATCTTCCGGTACTTCAAACAAAGGCGTCGAGGTGTGTCCTCGTCGCCCCTCCGATGCTTAAGTCAGAAAGAGAATTTGTGCATAAAGCTATGAACTGAAAATTATGTAAAACGTACCTGAATAATGATCAAGGGATTTGTATTTATAGAGATACGTGGTGTATTCATACTAGGATTCCGTAGTGCACTTGTAATAGGACAGCTTGATTTTGCAATCTTATACCAATGAGTCCGACGCGAGATAGGACTTTGAATTGAGGTATAACTGGGATACCAATTATTTAATAGAGTTCTTCTGGGCATAGGAGACATAGGTTGAGGAGTTTAAGTCAGAATAAATTTCTTATTGGATAAGGCGTTGACGCCAGGGACATGTCGAGGACATAATCCCGAGGACACGTCGAATGACGTTCTACAAACTCTTGGGTCAAGAGCTCGGGCATGTGAAAGACATCCCGAGCACATATATCCCGAGCATACTGATACACAAATCGACGAAATAGAGTCCTCGGGTTTGTACACGTCGAGAACAGTATTTGGTAACATTAGTGGCCCCCGTGCACCTGTGCTCGATTATATGCATGAGGATGGGTGCAAAAGATCAAAATTACAGTCCTCGGTATAATACCCCTGACAATTCATTGCAGAGGAAGGATTCGTGAGGGCTAACGTCAGATGTGGTAGTGACGCGAGCCCTAGTACAAAGGCGGTGTAACTTTTAGACCCTAGGATGTAGGATACGTGGCATGATCGAATGGTTCAGGATGCGACCTTTGGCCTCCCACCCATGTTTCCCTATATAAGCCTCATTTCCTATTCATTTTTTACTTTTTCACGATCAGTAAACCTTGTTGGAGTCGTCGGGATAAGGTGAGTCCTCTAGACTTTAAGTTGTTAGTTTTTAGAAAAGTCTAAATTTAAGGTAGGATGTCGAGCAGTGAATGTAATACGTCATCCTCGAATACAGGAACCCCAACCGAGGATTGTCAATAATACCTATGGCCGTTCCCATAAGTATTAATCCTCGAGCTCAGGATATCCCGACACCGTTAGTATACCCCGACCAACCGTGTAGGTTTAAGGAGCACTTAGCAGTGGCGACTGCTAGAGAGTTCGGCCTGATGCCGAACTGTGATATTAGATTTCCTGGGGATGAGGATAGGGTAGCCATTGCTCGGGAAAGAGAGTTTGTCGTTTTTAAAGATTCTCTGAATGGGGATTTAGGTGGCCACTGCATCCTTTTTTCCTTGCACTTTTGACTAAGCATAATATGAGTCCGAGGCAATTAGTGCCAAACGGGTGGAGGATGTTGACATATTTTTTTATTGCTTGTAGATACCTCAGGATTATCCCGTATGTCGACTTATGTAGGATGGTCTTCGACCTAAAACAACGGCCCCAGTACTCTTGTTTTGCCTATCTCTCAACCCGAGGAGGGTTTAGAATCCCGAGGATGCCTAGCTCCCTAAAAGGGTGGAAGGACAAGTGGTTTTATGCCATACCTCAAGATCCCGATGTTCCCTTTAGTCCTTGGTGGGGGGTGCCCAATACTGCTAGGTTTTGTGGGCGTCAGGCGTATTTTGAGTCGTTGGAGACGCATAGGCAAATGCTAGAGGAGCTCGAGCCCCTCGTTTATGACTTGGATGATATCCTCGAGCTTGCAAACATAAAAGGCATCGAGGGTAGGATACGTGATTTTAACGCTTTAATTTCCCGACCTATATTTTTATTAATGCTCGCGCTAATAACATGTCTTTTTTTGTAGAAATGACGTTTGACCCAAGTGCCCTTCGTCAGGCAGTTAGCAAGAAGTCAAAGGTTCCCTAAGCTCGGGCTCCAGGCCAGTGGAGGGGCCAAAAGAGACCTCGGGACTCGAGGACTGAAAAGTAGACCAGTGGGCCCAGTGAATCGTCAAGGCCCCGAGGACCGTCCCCGGCAATAGGGAGGACGGGAACTCAGCAACAAGATCTTTTGGGGACTACTCGAGGGCCTCATCCTCGAGGACCTGTTGACGTGGTCGACCTTGAGGATGAATTCCTGCCACCAGGCCCTGCTAATCCCGTGGGATGCTCCCGGTGTCAGTCTGTGCTCAGCGTTGTTGACAAGTACCGGACAGACGTCGATTTAAGCAATGGCTTGAGGGCTCTCGAGCCTATGGTAAGATCGTCGACAATTTTTATTTTTATTTTTATACTTTTTGCAATCTTTACTTCCCTAGGTTTAAGTTGCCCGCGCTCTTTTTTCCAGACATTGGGCATAGCTCGAAGTCTTTCCTTAAAGGTGAAAGACGAGTCTTCAAAGATGGTCGACCTCGAGGGTGTCGTTTCTACTCGGGATCTGAGGATCGTCGACCTCGAGGAGGAACGTGCTCAACTGATGAGAGAGTGCGAGCAGATGAGAAATGATCTTCGCAATGCTCAGGATGAGGCTGACACTGCGAAGGACGAGGCTGAGCTCCTCAAACTCGAGCTCGAGCGCACTCGAAAAGAATTGGATGCAAAGTTGGTCGATGCTCGAAATGATGCGGTCGAGGACTTTAAGAAGTCTGACGCCTTCAACGAGTTGAAGGGCGAGTATGCTATGGGCTCATACTTTCATACCTTGAAGGAAGCTCGAGCTTTTATTCGCCTGAGGCCAGATGCTCACCCTAAGGATCTGAAGTCGATTCCCGAGGTAGTTGATGACCTTTAGCTTTCTGAGTCTGAAGAAAATGCTAGGGATGAAGACGTCGATATTGAGGGTGACGATGTCGAGGAAGGCCAAGGCAGTCAGATCTTAATGGAAATAGTTTTTCCTTTTTACCGAGCTCAATCGACGCATTTTTATTTCATCAACATACGCCGACGACTTTTGTCAATTAATTATCCCGACGACTGAGAAGAATTAATTATCTCGACGACTAAGAAGATTAACTATCTCGACGAAGAATTGATTATCTCGATGATTGAGAAGAAATAATTCGATTTTAAGCATGTCATAAGGCTGAGAACAGTGATGAATGCAGGATATAGTTTAACACCTTGACGGTAAAATTATCCCGACGTTAGTATTGAATCCAATCCTATGAATATCTCGAGGACTAATCGCGAGGGGTGGTAACCTCGAGGTATACGAAGAATTGTGACCGACCTCTGTACAGAAGTATATCTCGAGCTTTCACTTTGGAACCTTAGACAAAAATTCAAGGATAGATGGTCGGGGATGTATGTCCTTGGGATGTTTACTTGTGCTGCAAGATTTTGATGTGCTGATTATGGGCTCTAAGGTTTTGGTGCTTGCGCGGGGCAATGCTTAGGTGCTTGCGCGGGGCAACGCTTAGGTGCTTGCTCGAGGCAAGGCTTTGGTGCTGAGATCACATATTTTTATGAATAGCTTAATACTTAAAATTGACTTGGCATGTAGGTCTGACAACTAAAAATGTGAACCTTGGCACGCAGGCCTGTCAACTAAAAACGTGAACCTTCGCATGTAGGTCTGACTATTAACTTGGCACGCAGGCCTGACAACTAAAAACGTGAACCTTGGCACGCAGGCCTGACAACCGAAAAGACGATAAGAAAAAGAAAACTTAAAGCAATGCAAATTTTTACCTGTCATGTGGTAGGGCAAATTACTTGTAATAAATCTTCAAATTATCGACATTCCAAGGCCTAGGAAGGGGTCTTCCTAAAGTGTCTCTTAGGCTGTATGCTCCTTTGCGAACCTGTCGTATGACCTCAAAGGGTCCTTCCCAGATGGGCCCGAGCTTCCCTGGGGGTGACCTGTTGCTTCGGCCCTCCTCAAGACCAAGTCGCCAGCTCTGAACCTCCGAGTCTTGACTTTGTTATTAAAATGTTTTGCTGTCTTAGTTTGGTAAGAGGCAACCTTCATAGCGACTTGCTCCCGTACTTCTTCCAAAAGATCAAGGTGTTCAGTTGTATGCCCTGAGATTTCTGGCTCGAGTCTCCTATGGCTTGGCAGTCTAATTTCCACCGGGACCATTGCTTCAATGCCATAGGCTAACATAAAAGGGGTTTCTCGTGTGGTTGTCCTATGAGTTGTTCTATATGTCCATAGTATAGAAGGCAGCTCGTCGGACCAAGAACCCCTAGCATTACTAATTCTTGTTCGGAGGTCTTATAATATGATTCGATTTGTCACCTCAGCCAGACCATTGCTCTGAGGATGCGAAACTGAAGTCAGACGATGATCAATCCCAAGGTTTGAGCAAAAGTCCCTAAACTGTTGATTGCCAAATTGCCTGCCATTGTCGGTGATGAGGACCTTTGGTATCCTAAACCTGCAAATGATAGACCTCCAAGTGAAGGCTCTTAGCTTGGGCTCCGATATCGTTGCGAGAGGTTCGGCCTCTACCCATTTAGTAAAATACTCTACTGCTACAGCAACAAACTTTAATTGACCTCTAACCACAGGAAAGGGCCCAAGGATGTCAACTCCCCATTGTTCAAATGGGGCCGAACAGTTAATGTTGGTGAGGTCTTCGGCTGGTGAATGGATAACATTACCAAACCTCTTGCACCTATCACATCTCTTAATATATTCTGAGGCGTCCTTCTTCATAGTTGGCCAATAGTACCCATATCGTATGAGTTTAAAGGCCAGGGCCCTGGCTCCTTAATGATTCTTGCACATACCTTCATGAACTTCAGCAAGGGCCTGGGATGATTCCGATAGTCTAAGGCACCTTAGGTATGGAAGAGTAATACTTCTGCGAAAGAGGACACCGCTGATCATGCAGTACCTAGGAGCTCGAGCTCAGATGCTTCTAGCCGATCTGGCATCGCTTGGTAGATTTTCACTTGTGATGAATTCTATGATTGGGTCCATCCAAGACGGTTCGTTGTCAATGTCCATGACGTCAGGGATTTGATTGATGCTGGGTTCTGTGATGACTTTGATGTAAACTGTTCTGTCTAGGCTGTCAACCCCCATGAACACAAGCCTGGATAATGCGTCGACTTTTCCGTTGTCCTTTCGAGCAATTTTTGCAATTTCACAACTCTTGAATTTTCGTTGAAGATCCTGAACCTTCATGCAGTACAAACTCATTTTCTTGTCTTTCCTTTTAAATGATCCTTCAATCTGTCCGACCACCAGTTGTGAATCACTGAATACCTTCACGAACTCGAGCTCAAGGCTAAGGGCTAGCTCCAGAGCAATAACGACGACCTCATACTCGGCCTCGTTATTGGTTGCTTCAAACTCGAACCTAAGAGCGCATTGAATCCCTGTATGTTTGTTAGGGCTGATGATGATGACCCCTACACCTGAGCCCGAGGAGTTCGATGCTCCATCTACAAAAATTTGACAAGTGTCCAAATTAGTGCTCATGCTCGAGCCGTCACCTAACCCCCGAGGCCTAGGGGTTAGTTCTGCAATGAAGTCGGCTAATGCTTGGACTTTGATAGATAGGCGTGGTTTGAATTCGATGTCAAATTCTCCAAGCTCGATCACCCATTTCATCAGTCTTCCTGAGACGTCCGGCTTTTGAAGTTCATGCCTAAGTGGTTGATTAGTGAGCACCACAATAGGGCGAGACTGAAAATACTGCCGGAGTTTCCGTGCTGCTATCACCAAGGCAAGGGCAAGTTGTTCCACCAAAGTATACCTTGTTTCCACATCTAGTAGGACCTTGCTTACATAGTAGATAGGTTGTTGGACTCTGTTAACCTCTTTCACCAAGACCCCGCTAACCACGTTTTGATATACGGCCAAGTATAAAAATAAGGTGTCACAGGCTCAGGCCTAGTGAGAATAGGAGGAGATGCCAATGTTTGCTTGAGCTCCTGAAAAGCTTTCTCACAGTCTTCACTCCAATCAAAGCCTTGGTTTCCTCTGAGGACTTTGAAGAAGGGATAGCACTTGTTTGATGCTCGAGACACGAACCTATTCAAGGCTACTATCCTACTAGTCAACCTCTGTACCTCTTTCTTGTTCCTTGGTGATTCCATAGATGCCAAGGCTTGTATTTTGTCAGGGTTAGCCTCTATCCCCCGGTGAGTGATCATAAAGCCCAAGAACTTGCCCGAGGCTACGCCAAATGCACATTTTGCTGGGTTCAACTTCATTTTGTACTTTCGCAAGGTGTCGAAAACCTCTTCAAGATCTGAAATATGTTGGTCCACCGTTTGCTCTTGACCACCATGTCATCAACGTACGCCTCCCCATTCCTTCTTATCAAGTTAGCAAAGACTTTGTTGATGAGCCTTTGGTATGTTGCCCCTGCATTCTTCAAACCAAAAGGCATGACCTTATAACAGTATATGGCGGAATCGGCCATGAATGACGTCTTTTCTTGATCTTCCTTAGCCATGAGGATTTGATGATAACCAGAAAATGCATCTAAGAAGCTGTATAGCTTATGTCCAGATGTGCTATCCACCAAGTTGTTAATCCGCGGTAGGGGATAACTATCCTTTGGACATGCTTTGTTAAGATCTGTGAAGTCAATGCAGACGCTCCACGTACCATTGGCCTTCTTCACTAAAACAACATTGGCAAGCCAATCGGGATATTGGACTTCCCGAATGAATTGAACACTGACAAGTTTGTTAATTTCTTCGCGAATGACCTCCCGGCGTTCTAGGGCAAACTATCTTTTCCTCTATTTTACTGGTTTGGTCCTTGGGCTAATGTTAAACTTGTGGACTGCAATTTTGGGGTCTATCCCTGGCATATCCTCAACCTTCCAGGCAAAAACGTCAATGTTGCGAGATAAGCAACCAATAAGTTCTGTCTTTAGGGTGACGTCAAGATCCCGACCAATCGTCACCTTCTTATCATGCTTGAGCTCGATTTCCATCAATTCTTCGACAGGAGCAAGTCTGACTTGTTGCCCGATCTTGGGCTCTGTCCTTGAGATTTGCATGACGTCGTTATTTATTTCTCGAACGCTGGCAACATAGCATTGTCTGGCAGCTGCTTGGTCTTCTCGCACGACCCCAACGCCATTACTTGTTGGAAACTTCATGGCTAGGTGGAAGGTAGACATAATGACTTTGATCTTGTTCAGGAGTGGTCTTCCTAGGATAGCGTTATAGGCCATTGAGACACGTACCACTTGAAAAGATGTCATCTCCGTAACCTATTTCTGGCCAGAACCCAAAGTTAGAGAAAGCTCGACGACACCCTGTGGAGTGATGACTCCTTCCCCAAACCCCTGGAGAGGAGTTTTAACCGCTTTGAACTGCTGAGATGAGATTCCCATTTTGGCAAAAGCCTCTTGTGAAAATATATTGGCCGCACTCTCGTTGTCAACCAAGATTCTCTTTACTTCAAAATTGGCCACAATCGCTGAGATGACCAAGGCATCATCATGTGGAAGTGATATACCTTCCAAGTCCCTAGTTCCAAAAGTAATATCCTCCAGCTTTCCATGAGGCATCCCAGAGGCCAAGGTATATTGTCGGGCATATTGTTTTCTTCCACTGTTCGAGTCTTGTCTCGAGGCAATACCCCCAATGATGATATTGATGGTTCCAGCAGTGGGTTGACCATCCCTTTTTGCTTTAGGGGCTCTTTCCCTACCACGATCGTTCCTCGGGCGTTTGTCGTTACCGACGTAAGAACTCAGGAGTCCTCTTTTAATAAGGGCTTCAATCTCCTGTTGCAGGGCCTTACAGTTTTTCGTGGTATGCCCATGATCCCGATGGAACTCATAGTATGTGTTCATGTCCCTGGATTCAGGTGGTGACCTCATTCTGGCAGGCCATTTGAGTTCCTTCATATCCTTGATCTCCATCAATATATTTGTTTTTGATGTATTTAAACGCGTGAATGACGTCGGGGGAACCTCTTGTCTCTGTTTTCTCCGAGGTGGTTCTTGACGGGGGTTTGGGTCGTGCTGTCGTTTATGCTCGACCCTATCATGGTATGGTCCAACCTTTCTCGGGTTCAGTATTTCTTTCATATTTATGTACTTCTCGACTCGGGTAAGAAGCTCGGTCACTGTCTTTGGTGGAGTTTTGGATAAAGACATCTTGAAAGCCTCACACTTTATGTCATATGTGAGGGCAGAAACTGCTGCAGTTATATGTAGGTCGGGAATCTGAAGTCTTTCCTTGTTGAACCTGGTCATGAAGTCACATAGGGTCTCATTTTGCCCTTGTCTAAGTTGCATGAGGAAAGCCGATGTCTTCCTAATGCGTTTACTGCTTGCGAAGAAAGTAGAGAACTTGTCTGCCAAATCCGAGAATGAGGCTATGGAGTTGGGCTCTAAGGTTGAGAACTAATCCCTAGCAGCATTCGTCAAAGTTTTCGGGAAGGCCTTGCACATCACCTAATCCAGTGCGACCTATAGAATCATGACGTCCGTGTATACGTTAAGATGATTGATTGGATCAGTGGTCCTGTCATACTCTTTGATCCTAGGATACTTAAATCTGTCTGGCAAGGGGAATGTCAATATCTCGGGGAGTAAAAGGAGTGTTGGGACTGAATCTTCTTGACCCTTTGTTGCCCTGAAGTAGGCAAGCCATAATTCCTTCTTGAATAATCCTAACGAGATCTCCGGACTCCATGGTTACTGATCTCGAGGCCGAGGTCACATGTGGTATGCCCAAGGCCCCTGCTCCGCCATTGTCAAGGACATGTCGCTGAGCTCGAGCTTGAGCATCAGCCATAAAACCCCCCTGGGGTGCCGGTGTGGGTGACGGATGTGAATTCCTTTGACTTAGCAGCTGAGTCAGTGTGGCAACCTGTTGTCTGAGCTCTTCAAAGGCCGCGGTAGTGACGACTGCCGGCTGGGGCTCTGGCACTTCTGATGATTCTTCTTGAGGAATAGGGATATCCTCATGAAGAGGTTGGTTTGGAGCGGATGAGCTTGCTGGTGGAAGACCTGAACGTGTGTTTATCATAGCTTTTGGTAGCACTTCCCATAGACAGCGCCAATGATGCTACCAAAAATCGTACATGTTGATTTTTCGAGCTTGACGACTGATAATGAGCATGAACGAGATCTTCCGGTACCTGAAACAAAGGCGTCGAGGTGTGTCCTCGTCGCCCCTCCGATGCTTAAGTCAGAGAGAGAATTTGTGTGTAAGGCTATGAACTGAAAATTATGTAAAACGTACCTGAATAATGATCAAGGGCTTTGTATTTATAGAGGTAGGTGGTGTGTTCATACTAGGATTCCGTGGTGCACTTGTAATAGAACAGCTTGATTTTGCAATCTTATACCAATGAGTCCTACGCAAGATAGGAGTTTGAATTGCGGTATAACTGGGATACCAATTATTTAATAGAGTTCTTCTGGGCATAGGAGACATAGGTTGAGGAGTCTAAGTCAGAATAAATTTCTTATTAGATAAGGCGTTGACGCCGGGGACATGTCGAGGACATAATCCCGAGGACACGTCGAATGACGTTCTACAAACTCTTGGGTTAAGAGCTCAGGCATGTGAAAGACATCCCGAGCACATATATCCCGAGCATACTGATACACAAATTGACAAAATAGAGTCCTCGAGATTGTATACGTCGTGAACAGTATTTGGTAACATCACTTGCCATTAAAGATTAGTTTTCGAAAACAATGGTGTTAAGTTTAAAATTCAGATTTTAGGTGGTAAATAGAATTTTTAATTGTAATAACCCCACCACCTCTACCCCGATTAATCCCAAGCCCAACCCTCCTCTCTCTCTCTCTCTCTCTCTCTCTCTCTCTCTCTCTCTCTCTCTCTCTATATATATATCTCTATGAGTCACTTTGTATCTTTCTCTCTACCGTCACTCCTTATCTTCCCTCTCTCTCTCTAGTCTTTACCCACCCCACGATAACCCTAGAGCGGAGCAGAACTACTGGAAAAAGTTGATGCACGTAGTGTAAGATGGCTGCAACCAGAGTTGGTGGCGCCAATGAACCTTTTTCTGATTTATGGATGGTTTTTTTAACTGTGGGTGGTTTGTTGGTGGTCGAGGTAGTGTCGACGGTGGCTTGCAGCTCGCGATGAGCGCATACCCTCTACTCACCAACTTTTGCGTATTTTGAGGTGTATTTCCGACTACCGGCGGATCTAAATCTAGTGTCAAACCCATTTGACACGCAAATAGGAAGTGTAGAGAAAATGGGATCAAAGGACGATCTATATTTTTACTTATATAATTATGGAGAAGCTTAGTGGTGGAGATGGATTTGAGATTAATGACTCTATTTTCGACAATGGATTTGAAGGTGTTGGTGGAAATGATGGTGATGGTAATTGTTGTTGTGGATTTGAGGTAAAGGTAAACTTGAGTTGAAGGTGGTAGTGGTTGTGCAATTGAGTGGGTAGTGGTGGTGGTGATTGGAGGTGAATTGTGGTTTTGGTCTTTGGTGTGTTCAGATTTGTTTATGGTGACCTTTCATGATCACATGATCAAGTATGTGTTTATTGTGATCGGGTGTAACCAATTTTGTTTTTATTGTCATTGTCCGTGACCCGATTAATAGTGAGATACAAATTAAACTAATCTGGTCACACACAGTCACACTGAATACAAATTTTGTCATAACTAATAATAGATAACACATGTCAATAATTTGATTACATACAAGATATGGTCACAAACGATAAATCTGGTCGCAATAATCACAATAACACAATTAGTGACAAATTAAAATGCAACATTACTACCACCACATAGTACTCAAAATGTTGCTAGCACCCTATCACCACCACCGTCAAACACATCAACTGCAATTCACCTTCATCACCTACAATGTACTATCATCGCCACCAAGCAGACATATTTTCTAAACACAGTGCCTCCTCTCCTCCTCCACCACCACCTATAAAGGTTTTTTTTTTTTTTTGGAGAGAGAGAGAGGATAATTGATTGTATATTATATATATTATTAATTGGATTTAATACCTGAATTTTGAAATAATTTAACAAGTTGTTAGTTTTGAAATGGAATTTTTTTTGTAGGAGTTATGTATTGTTCCTTTCTTATTCTACGAGGAATTCTCTTAAACCTCTCTGTTACCTTAAAACACTTCCACCCCTGAACACACACTTACACGAAGAGGAATATATAATAGTGGAGATGAAGTAGGAGTGGACTGAATATTCATGGGGATGGGTTGCAATAGAATAGTGAACAACGTACGAGTGGCACTAGATCAATCCCCACTTTTCTTTCATGAAAAATCTGTGCTTAGTATATCTATCATTTTTCTCATTGCGAAAAAGGTATGATGCATTTTGATTAATTTTAATGGGAATTTTGTACAAAACATAATTCCTGTGTGTATTTCTGAAAGATGGTAATCTTTATATGAGATCATTTATTGCACATATCTAAGTTAGGTATCTGTATTATCTAAAGCTGGAATTTTGATATTTATGTCAATCGGCATCATACAATAGATGGAGAATCTTTGCACCTGATGCCTTTGTTATTTGAATGCCCATAAAATTATCGTCAATGCCATAGAGGTTACACAGTATACCATCTGAAAGTTCTACTCTTACCGCACCTGTAGTGGTGGTTTTTAGGTGCTTGGTGTTGGTTTGTTTGAATAGTGGAAATGGTTGTGGTGCTACTGATTGTCATGATGTGATGATGGTGATTTTGAAGACTGCGTAATAGCAGCGGTGCTACTGGAGGTAGTGGTGAGGTTGTGATTGTCATAGATTATTTGGTTGATTATGACTAATAAATTGGTTTAATATGTGACCAATAAATAATGCGTAACCTGAGATTTGTTAAGTTGTGGCCAATAATTTGTTAATTTAAAAATAATTTGTGACTAATTAATTAAGTATTTTGTGACCATGAAATAAGTTGCGGCTTGTAAAATTTGTGATTGATGAACAAATTGTGACATATAAAATTTTTATTTGTGATCATGAAATAATTCGTGACATATAATTTTTTTTTTATTGTGATCAATTATTTGATAATTTAAGACCAAATCGTATAGTATTGTGACTTTAATATATTTAATTAATAAAATATATGTTTAATTAATTATTTTATGAATTAATTTTAAAAAATAAATAATATTTGAAGTTTTAAACCTTATTTCTTAGTTTTGAAATGTATTATATTTAATCTCTTTTTTTATAAGATTTTCCCGAAAAAATACGTAGAACCAGGTTTTCTAAATTACCATTTCAAAAATCATATTTGTTGATGTCAAAATTAGCAAGGAAGATTTTGAACCAACTTTAAGAAAAAGGGGAATTTGTATTTAGAAAAGATCACAAATTTGTAATTGTGCCATAAGTCGTTATCTCAATTCGTTTTTTCCTTTTTTTTCTTACAAGAGTCCTATTCCACTATTTATACATATTTCAGCCGAAATTATATCAAATCAACAACAGTGCCAAGCTCGCAACTCGGGTCATCGAATTCTCCAATGATTGGTCAACGAGGCTGGTGGTCATGTACCAATGTAGTGCCAAAGTAATGATGACCTGTAGGGGTTGGAATTCGAGGACTTGGAATTGGCTATTTCGGGCGGCGATGACATCACTTGTGGCAAGTGTCTCTGATTGATAGGGTGATGTGACAATGGGTAATTATGGTGTTTTTCTGAGATAACGACGGGTAACTCCGACCTGAGAATGTGAACCGAACTTATTTTTAACTGAGATGGGGTCAGCGAACTATTTTTACCAGATCGGAGTTCAGATGTCAACAATATTCAAGGTTTGTTTATACAAAAATCACATAATAATTCAATATTAATAATTATAGTATAAAATTTAAATTAATATATATACCCACCCTTCCTCCATCCACCATCACCAAATTTCATTCCAAATTCCAATTACTTTCCCTTCTTCTCTCCTTTTTATATTTCTCCATTCATTATCTCTCTTTATACCCCTTTACCAACCCCATCAGAGTTGTACAATAGAATGCACGACAACAAACCTTCGATCCTCATCCCTCCACAGGCGATAATGGTTGTGGTGGAATGTATGGCAACAAATCTGCTTTTCATGACGGCAGTACACCTGTTGTACTTGAAGTCGCACAAACACACAACCACGATAGGCGACACGTAGTGGCATCGTCGTAGCTAAGCGTACGCCGCTCATCATTGTTATTCTCACCGTTTGAATTAGAGGCAGATCGAAATTTCC